AAAGGTTTTCTGTTCGCACCTAAGACCACTGTCTTAGGTGCAAACTAAAGCCTGTGATTCCTCACACCCATTCAACCAGAGAGAAGTGAAACAGACTGCAGGATGCCAAATGCCATCTTCCTGTCCTGGTTGTTTGACTTCTGACACTGCCCCTTTCCCTGTATGTTCCTTTGATATGTTAAAGTCTTGCCTACTTTTAATGTATAAAAAGGAAAGTATAACTTCAGTAAAGTGAGCATGTCTTGAGTGCTAGGGGGAACCCTTTCTCTGTGATATGCTCCCCTTCAGCTGATTGTATTAAAGATCTGTGTTTGACAATCTCCTAACCTGAGTGAAGACTGAGTTTTCTTCGACATTATTGAGCTCTAAAAAACTGAATCTGCACTGGACTGCGTCCTGCTCCTTTGATGAACATCCTGCTCCTTTGATGAACAATTTCCCACAACAACTTCGTAATCAAGGGTTGCTCACAGCTGTCCAACGGGAGTTCAGCAATGATTCACTGGGTGTGGGGGGCGTGGGCTCTCCCAACACCCTGGGTGGGCCTGGATGCTTGGACACACCCCCACACGCAGTGTGCGCAGGGAGGCATGCCGTTGCCCTGAGCCGACTCCTGCTGCGCTGCTGGGACAGGGTCAGGAAGTCATCGGAAACGCGGGATAAAAAAAAACAGACGGATTTCTGAATGATGACTAATGTACTGAATAATGTTCTTCTCCCCTAGACCAATGGCTGTGTAACATCAAGAAAGTTTTGTATACTCCCACTTCTGCAAAGTGTCCAAGCAATCTAAATGGGCTCTTCTCCTTTGTAACCTATCTTATAATCAAAGCCAGATCCACACTTACATCAGCCAATTACAGTGACTCCAGACCTCAGCTACCACACAGGAGGTGTTAGTTTCCCTGGATTCTGGAAATAAATTAATATCTGGCTGCAAACAGTACATCTGTAGTGCATCTATTTGACTGGCTTTGTGAGTGGAAAGTGTTGCATACCTGCTTACAAAACATTGTGAAAGGTGGAAGGAATTGTGGTGAGAAGTTAGGGCAGGGACTTCAAAGGTACAGGCTGACTGAAACTTCCCTTGTCACGTTGCTATCGCATCAGTATTGTTCCATTTTCATTTTAAAGTTAGACAAAGCAAGGTGGTGACAGGAAATGAAGATTCTGGGCTTTGAACTATTTATTCCTCTGAGCAACACTAAGCGAATAGTTCAGTCTTTGTCATGAAAGTCAACAAAAAGGAAATAATGTTAAATTACAATTGTGTGCTGTCCCTGTATCTCCCTTATAAAATGTATTTTTGTTTTTGCTTATAATATGCATAGGCATTTTCATCAGATAGGAAAAATTCCATCAAATTGAAAAACATTTGTCTTGTTTGACATCTTTATCTTGCATATTTTATAGATAAACATTGACTGAATATCCACCTCAGGGGCTACAACATAATCATGGTTCATGAATGATTAATGAATAAAATTGACATTTAAAAGGGTTGTAAAGATTTTTGTGTCTACAAAAAACAAATATGTCTAAGATATAAAATTCACAATGCTTGTCATAAGATCTTGTAACTCCACATATGGCCTTGTCTGCACACATCTCTCAACCTTGCAGATGAGGTCTGGAATCTGCAGTCTTCTTTCAATGCCAAAAATGTTCAGCTTCCTTGAATGCCCTTGAATGTATCTGGTGTTGCTCTTCAATGGACTGATTACAGACTGGATTGCAGCTCCAGACTCAACCAAACAGTCTTTGATTTAAATTCTCCACTTTTAACACTTGAACGTATCCTAATGTTTTGCTTGCTGTTTCTACAGCTTCCCCACATTGTCAAGAGAAGATGCAAATTATGTGTCAACATAAATACCTCAGTCTTTGTCATAAGAAGCCCCTTCAGCTCAGTATTTCTCACTTTATGTTTGTAGTTTATGTTTCTGCTTCCTGCTTTTAATACCCTATACTTCTCTGTGTTAAATGTCTTGTGCCAGGTGTCTGACCAGTCTTGAATGTCATCTTTTTGCATGTCAGTTGTTGCTCCTGTAGTATTTGCCTATAGTAGTCACTTACCCACCAATACAATAGCCACTATATGCAGTAGTAGTTCAGGTGGGGAGCTGCGTCAGCATGCGTAGGCTGCAAAGGAACAAGTAATAGGTTTATTCCATGCTGGAAAAAAAGAAGAAAGAAAACACAACATTTCGGCTGTGGTGCCTTCTTCAGGTGTTAGGGTATGCAGTAAATATGCAGTATGAGTGCACGATACCCATGTGCTGAAGATTTCTTCAGTCAGTAGAGGTCAGTGTACTTGTCAGTGACATTAGTGTGCCTTTCAACAGAATGGGTGCTGTAAGAGTATTTTACTGTTGAAAGAGCAGCAGAAGTAGGGCCCACAAACTGACTTTCTTCATTTCTTCAAACAAACCAGAACCCAATGGCACAAAAAGCACAGCACCTACTCCAGAGAAGCCTCAGCACCTCAGGCATTGCAAAGCGCTGTTCTGGGGATTTCCTGCAGCTGCCTGCCTGCCTGCAATTCAGCCTCGTACACTGAATGGCAGGGACTTTGACACAACTGTCCCCGGCATTCTGATTCACAGGTAGAGTGGAGTTTGAGTTTTTAAAGGAAGTGAAAGAAGACAGAAAACATTAATGACAGGGAGGAAAAGTAAATTATGTGAATAAAAACGTACGTTATTCCTGGGTTTCTCAAGGTGAGACACTGAACTCGTTTATGCACCTATGCTGTTATCTAAGGCATATCTAAAGGGATGTGGTGATGCTATCTTAAGCCATTGTGAGATGTAGTATGCAATCACACTTAGACGCAGCTATTAGAAGGTACTATCAACTCTATTTCCTCTTTCTCTGTGGTTTCTTCTGTTCCCCTTATCATTGCATCACCGTCCTGCTTTTACTGCTTCTGAATAGAGAAACCATTTCCTTGGGGGCTCTCTGCAGTGCTGATTGCTCCCTTTCTTGCACCGTATTTGAATGTCAGGGATTTCCCTTCCCGCTAATTCATTCTCTAAATAATTCAAGCTGAACACTATCCATGAGAGATCCAGGACAAACCAGCAGCCATATCACCCTGCAACTCCCAGCTGGCACCCCACTGAAGCTCAGCAGGTGTGAGCCTGGTTAGTACCTGGATGGGAGACCTCCTGGGGAAAACTAAGGTTGGTGCTGGAAGAGGTGTTAGTGGGGCCAGCAGGGGGTGCTCACCCTGCGGTCCATGTGGGTCCTCATGCCCCAGTATAGTGACGGGGACACTATACTGTAAACAGGCACCGTCCTTCGGATGAGACATAAAACCGAGGTCCTGACTCTCTGTGGTCATTAAAAATCCTGGGGTGTTTCTCGAAAAGAGTAGGGGTGTAACCCTGGTGTCCTGGCCAAAGTTCCCATTATCCCTTACCAATCATGGCCTCCTAATAATTCCCATCTCTGAACTGGCTTCATTACTCTGCTCTCCTCCCCACTGAGAGCTGATGTGTGGTGAGAGTACTGGCGCACTATGGCTGCCGTCGCATCATCCAGGTGGGGCTGCACATTGGTGGTGATGGAGGAGAGTCCCCATTACCTGTAAAGCGCTTTGAGTGGAGTGTCCAGAAAAGCGCTATATAAGTGTAAGCAATTATTATTATTATTATTATTATTATAAACGTGGCTTCTCCCAGAAAACTGCAGCTTTTGATGTCTGTTTCAGAAATCATAGCATTTTCTGGTCACATAGAGAAATGCACTTCCCATGTAGGAACCAGTGGGATGCAAAGTGAGTTTTACTTTCTGCACCTAAACACTCCAGAGACGCTTTCCAGTGTTTTCTAAGAAACATCTGCACACTGGTGCATCTGTTGGTGATCTGTTGCTCTGTACCATCCAAGGCTTAGATGTATTCAGTGTCCTCTAGAACTGTAAAACAAGGTGACTGTACCTTGTGAACGTGTTACAAATATAGCACCGTCTGGTTTATAGTTAGCATTGTTGCTTTAGGGGTGTGATTAGTGGTTTAATATTAGCTCTGACACCAGTTTAGGTACAAACAAATTATAGCCCCTCACAGGCCAGGAATACTGAGCAAAGTCTTGTGATGTCTTTAATATTGGGTGAACAATCTGGCGTACAAGAAATAAATAAGCAAGT